ATATACAAAATGGGAATACTAGACAAACCAGGAAACATAATTAGTGAATTCAGATGCTTTCCCAGGTCATAGAAAATCTACCTCAGATTACCAGAGACGTTTACAATTCCTAATGAGAAGAAAATGATGGATTTCAAAGTGATTGCAGAGTTACTGTGTTCCTCTAGTTCACTGCATAAAGTCAGAAACACTCTTTTCAATGAATTGAAATAATATTAAAGATTAATAGATGATCTGATATCAACTTTGATTACATGTAGAAATTCAACATGATGGAATTTTATTGATTTGAAGGTGAAATAATCATGATGGTGTAGCTGATTATTAATAACAGCTGTTTTCAACTTCATACGAAAAAAATGAGCTCCCTTAAGGTGTTGACAATCAGCAACTATCCTTACTATTGTCTGAAAAAAGCAGATGAGGAAAGAAGCACTCTATCACACTTACCGAGTACTCTTATTACAACTGCAAAAACAGATATATTTCTAACAATGACTAGCCATGATATTCCTAACGGTACACTTGAATATCTTCATAAGCAAAATAACCTACGTATAAGCGCTCACGATGAGATTGAACAATTGGAGGAGTGGGTGGTAGTTTTATTAATATTGTCTGATTTAACTCAAGAGAAGGAAGAATCGTACAAGTTCGCCCAAACAGCATATTCCCAATCTAAACAATTATCTACTCAATATATGCACGGTTCTATTTGTAGATTAGCAATTAAAGAGTTTGAAAAGCATGAAGAGATGTTTGGTGAAAAAAGTAATGAAAAGTTAGTAAATCAAGCATTAGAAGTTTCATCAAAATCTAAAGATATGGTTGCTTCTCTATGTAGTTGTGCTTCTGCTTTTTATTGGATTTACATGCGAACGGGACAATATGGTTGTTTAGCAGAAGATTATTGTTTGAAAGCCAGTTTATTTAATGCAAAATATGAAGGTTATTTGGTGGAGATTCAGGAAACACTCTACAACCTTTCAGATTTTGATGTTTTTCAACAACTTGCTAGAAAGAATGTAATGTTTGGTTTGAAAGATAAAATCGTGGTAAAGTATTGTAAAATGTTGAAAAAAAGACTCAGACAAAAGAACAAACCAAACTCTGGAAATCACGAAGAGGTGAAAAGCTTATTGGAAGAATGGGAAATGTGGCAAAACAAGAACACAAACGTATCAATGAAGGTCGAAACATTTATTCATGAAAATCAGGAACATTGGAGCGATAAATCATTGAATAATCTTATTCTTTCATCAGACCCTAATTTATATGTGATTAGTAGATTACTGGAAGAATATTACATTATTGGAAACCATGTATCACCAGAAAGTCAATTTCATTTAAATTATTTGTTTGTAAAACATTCATTAGGTAGAGCAA